GCTCTGGTCCCCCGGGCCTTGCTCAGAAGCAATGCCCTCCTGCTCTCGTCTCGAATCATTTCCAATGTCAGTTCCCCATCAAAAGATCCTAAACTCCTACCTCCTGCCTGGAGGTGCCCTACAGTCCTGATTCTGTAGCTGATTCTCATGTGCCCTCACATAGTTCTGTATCCAGGGACTTTTATTATGGATTTTAAGTAATATTAACAACCAGATGAGGATTTTTTTTCTGCTAGAGAAGCACATAAGATAGAATGCACCCCTTACATTTCCTTTAGAGATATTCAGAATGAGGATGACATAGCTCCTTGAGACCCTGGAAATAAACCTGAGGTTTCTCTCAGATAGGAAGACTAAGGCTTTATTAAGGATTAAGCTTTTTATTTACTTACTAGAGGCCCAGTGCATGAAATCCGTGCACGGGTGGGGTCCCTAGGCCTGGCCGGCGATCCGGGCCGATCAGGTTCCCTGCCTCCCCCTTCCCTCGCCACCCGCACCCACCCGAACACCGCCACTGTGCGCCTCCCTGTGTCCTCCTTCCCTTGCTCTATCAGCGCCCCGCCCTTCCCACACCCACCATGTTCTGCACCGCCCCCTGGTGGTCAGCTCACGGCATAGCGAGCAATCGAACTCCTGAAGGGACACTTTGCATATTAGCCCATTATATAGAGAGATTTTTATTTATTGACTGATTTTGAGAGAGAGAGAGAGGAAGGGAGAGCGGTCTATTGGTGTTCCACTTGTTCATTCATTCATTGGCTGCTTCTCGTGTGTGACTGACTGGGGATCAAACCTGCAACCTTGGTTCATTGGGTGACACTGTAACCAACTGAGCTACCTGACCAGGACCTAAGGATTAAGCTCTTCAATTAAGGACTAAAAATGCTTTCAGATTGCTATCGTATTTTTATACACATTTACACAACATAGTTTTTAAAAATACAATCGTAACTATATAATTATACTTTCCAGGATGCAATGTGCCCTCATTGTCCATACATCACTTCTGGAATAATTAACACAGCTCAACTATTAGCGACGCTATTGTTTTAACAAAGGTTTTGAGGGGCTTCAGGAACATCTGGTGCCGCATGTTTCTCCAGTTCGCAGAGGGGATCTGTGCGCCTCTGTGGCTCTGAGTCCTGAGGCGGCCTCCTCCTCCCCAAGTGTAAGTGTCCGGGGAGAAGGGGGTAGGTTTCCCTCAGCGTCACACTCAGGAATTGATAGAAAGGCATTTGCCATAAGTGTTTCTTTGAGCAGAAACTGCCTTTAAGGTGCCACGTCAGCCACCGGATCTGTGACCCACTTCCCGCCGGGTCCCTGGGAGCGGGCGAGGGAGGCCCCATGAGGCGCTGCTGCAGCACCCATTCAGCATCGACCGACCAACCGACCGCGGGCTGGCTGCTTGGCCCAGCCCCCGTACATCAGGTCCAAGTGAGAGCTTTGTAGAAGCTGTTGAGAGCCCCACTCAACCCAACAGCTTCGCTCGGCTGACGCTGGAGGCGAACCCTCTGACTTTTTGCCCGTGGACGCGGGCTTCCTGCCGGGGGCTTGCACGCTGAGCTGTCCGCATCGACTGGGTTACTACTTCAACATGTAGGAGCAGGTGCATCTGAAAGAATGAAGACACTTTCTGAAAAGGGACTTGAATTTAAAAGCGAATGGGATTCTCTTCTGATGACCCTGATGAAGCCGCGGCTGGTTTGACTGCGCGTAGGATAACCCGAGTGCACACCAAACCCCACGCGAGCCAGAGGAAAGAGACCGGGGAGGAGCAAGCACAGAAAAAGAGCCATAGGTGAGTTTTGTAGGTAAAATAAAACTGTGTAAGAGGAAAGTTAATGCCGCTAACTAGGCACTAGAGTGCTGAGGAGCAAGGATGGTTTGACAACCAACCAAGAAACAAGGAGTAAACAGGTTTTAAGTATAAGCTTAAAAACATTATTGAGAAATGAGGAAAACTGATGTAAGATACAAGTAGACTTTAAGAAGGAGGTTAAGATACACAATAACTAAAAGATTCAAATTCTTGCCCGGAGATGTGTCTTGGATGGTCTATATTCTGGGTAAGATAAGTGAGCTTAACAAGGACAAAGCCGGGACATAGCTGTCAGCCACTTTTCCCATATGATGTGATGTGATACGAAATAGCAATTAGCAACAACCGAGCCTAAGAAGCAGAGCTACATCCAGCTTTAAGATGCTGAACACTATTTTTGAGTCAGAGTCATGAGAACGGTATTTAGAATCGTGTTACAGGGAACATTGCCTTGGTTACAGAATAGTGTGATCTGAATCGCTTCAATCACAGGGAGAAAAGCTAGTAAGAGTCTGCCCCAAGGTGGAGCTGATGAAGCAAGTCACAACCTTAGTCCAACTAGTGTAGGAAGAGAAGCCGCATGGTCTTGTCAAGGTCTGACCTCCTCTTTAAAGAGTCGAGAAACTAAAGAGTGAGCAGAGGCTTCAGATGAGGGAAAAAGGACCTAGGAACTGAGCAGCCTCGGGGCTGACCAGCCCCTTCCTCCATGCCTGGCCCTGCGACAGGGTGCGAAGGCCGTCTCCTCGGCCCCGGCCCCGCAGCCCTTCTCAACAGCAAACTCACCGCGAGGCACGGTCTCTGCTCAGCTGCGTCTCTAGGAACATTGTTCACAAGCAGCTGACCCTGGGGAGGGCTCAGCACGTAGTGCTCCTCCTTGGGACGAATGTGGGCATGAGCCAGACTCAGTCTGCCAGGCAGCTGGGCAGCGACCTAAGTTCCGTAGCCGATACATTGGTTTTCTTTTTTAACTAGAGGCATGAAATGCGTGCAAGGGGCTCGGCCCTCGCAGCCCCAGCTTTGTCCGGAAGGGCGTCAGGAAGGTCGTTCAGCTGTTCGGTCTAATTAGCATATTAGCTCTTTATTATATAGGAGGATATTCTTTTGTTGATGCGTTACAGATCTCTCCCATTTCATCATTTTTCAAAGCAATAAACCGTCAGAAAGTTCCTACTCATCAGCAGGCGGCCTCTTCAGAGCTTCCTTCCAGGACAAAGCACATGATCGTGCAGCAAATAAACCAAAATCAATCAATCAATCGATCAATCAATTGTTCCTTGGGTATTGTAAGCCTCTGGTCTCAATGCAGGGCTAACAATTAAAGAACAAGTGCACGCCTCTCCCTCTGTGTCCTAAGACCCCGCAGGAAGCAGTCACTGTGCTGACTCTTTTGGAAGTTCAGTTTCCTGCCCGACGTGGAGCTTGGAGCAAGGGGTGAGTAGCTCGCTTGCCTTTCTGACGGCCTCTGCCCTTCCCCACCTTCTGTGGGTCCCAGGGTCAGGCTCCCCGGCCGGGGAGGGCAGCCCCAGGGGAGAAACCCCTGACCGCTGTGTTTGGAACCTGTTAGCGACATTTGAACCATCACACACGGGGCCGAACTTGACCTTGGAATCACAGGACACTTACTCCCAAAAGATAATGAAAAGGAAGAGATCACACACATAAAAATGACCCCCAAATGAAGCGACATCATGGGTGAAGAAATGAAGGCAGGGAGACAAGCCATTACCCCACTCCAGGCATCAGTTTAAAACTAGGAGGTGGCGAGTGCAAATCTTCACTCCACAACCTTAAAGCCCTCTGGCTTCCCCATCTGTGTTATCAGGTGTCCAAGATGGTTTATTTCCTCATTCTTGCCCCATGTATGATTAGTTTAGTTTCATATTTAGCATCTTTTCTACGGCAAACATTCCTCTGGTGCCTGATGTGCATGTGTGTCCTGTCTACATCCTTTCTACCGTGGCTCTGGCCTCTGTCCACGCGTGGTCCAGAGAGCATCGCCTGTTAAGCACCGCTGTGGTCACGGAGTGTCATGACAGGGGTGCCACACCCATCAGGCCACAGAGCCAGAGACACTGCTCTTCGTGGCACCAGGGGTCCGTTTCTTTGGCTCCTGGCACAATGCCGCCATCGTCAGGTTTTGTATAAACACACGATGGAGTTTGGAGAGAGGCTTTGGGGCAGACGGAACCTCTTTGGAGTTCTAAAGGGTCCCAAGATTCAGGATTTAAGACTAAGGACTTTAAACAAACAAGCAAGACTAAGGACTGAATTCTAAGACAGGCCTCTGGGGTGACCCTGACTTTGCTGGGTGCCCACCTTTCAGCGCCATAGACACAGTAGCCCCTGACTCTCCATCAGGGGGTCCTCAAACTACGGCCCGCGGGCCACATGCAAATACAAATATTGCATTTGTTCCCGTTTTGTTTTTTTACTTCAAAATAAGATATGTGCAGTGTGCATAGGAATTTGTTCATAGTTTTTTTTTTTTTTAAACTACAGTCCGGCCCTCCAATGGTCTGAGGGACAGTGAACTGGCCCCCTGTTTAAAAAGTTTGAGGACCCCTGACTCTCCATCAAGCACGTCACACTCACAGGCTAACAGGGGCCAAATGACAAGGTTTAAGCTTATGTGGCCGCAAAAAACAAAGCTTCCATTTTCATAGAAGCGTAGGTTTATTTCGATAGCGACATGCTGAATACAAAGGGGTGAAATAAATGAGTCATCATTAACATAAATAGGACATTTTAATAAAAATTAGTATTTTTTCTTGAACATTAACTTACCAGCACTGAATAACTGCACAAATTAACAAGCATAACACAAATAAACCTATTTTTCTGGTTCTCCAAAAGGGAAATATTTCCTGTTGCGCACACCAAACAAGTCAGTCCAAGACTAATGATGTGGCAATCCGCTGCTAAAATATTTGCTGTTAGTATTAGTGGAGATAAATGGTGCACCTGTGCATAAGGGAAATGAATGCAACACGATTATAGTAATCAGTCATTAGCGAACGTTGTAGTTCATTATTAATAATTATGTATAACAGGATCTCCTCCCCCTCTCCTCCCTCTCTCCTCCAAGAAAAAATAATAATTATGTATAACAAGATATTGTAAAAATTAAGTTATGAAATTTTTATTAAAATGTTTCTTACATACCATCATATTGGCTGGGCCGCAAAAATATTCGTTGTGGGCTGCATGTGGCCTGCGAGCTGTGGGTTTGACAGGCTTGCTCTATATTAGATGGATAGTTACTATGTTTTCAGAGCAAAAACGTATAATTTGACAATAGACAGGATATTTGAAGTTAGAACTGTCATTGAAAGCCTTACCTGCTCGTGGGTGTATGACCGAGTCCCTCGGAGTTCATGTACACAGCAGGATAACCTGGGGGAGAGTGAGCAATGAAGAGAATGCTACAACCCCAGGGATGGGTGGACCGACTCTAAGAGGTGAATACGTTGTCTCGGTGCTCACAGGCTTTAAGAAAGGCCCCTCTGATAGACTTGAATTGTGTGTGTTTTGTTAGAATATAATCTCCTACAGTTAAAGAAATAGACACTATTTAATACCCACCACCATTCTCAGAGGTGAAAGAGCCAGCACAGCTAACTGAACAAACACATTATCCAGGAGGACCTCAGAGTCCACGAAGGAAAATGATCTCCCGGCGGGAAAAATAAATAAAATCAAGGAAGAGAAACAAGACTAAGACAGCACTTGGGCTGGGTGTTCTGAGTGCATTTAAGATCAAGTCAGATAACCCCTGGGACACTGAGGGTCTATGAGCCGCTGAGGGAAACCAGGACAAAGGCCCCTGTGACTCCAGGCAACAGGAAGATCAGCCGAGGGCTCCGCGTGCCTGCAGTGACCCCTGCTGGTGCCATCTTTTCATCCATAAACTCAAGAGCCCACATCAAGGCTTGGGAAGGGCAACCGCAGTTTTCATAGAATAATTGAGTCTGGAAGTTGGAAGGAGGCTGAGCGGACATTTAGCCTTGTCTCTGATTTCATAATTGATGGAACAGGCCTTTGGCCCGAAGAGGTGAGGTGACTGCTCTAGGTCACAGGCCTGGGGTTACCGGGAAATGAAGACCTCTGCCCGGCCCTCGGCCTGTTTATGCAGGTGGAGCTCCCTCCCCGTCACAACAAACGACAGGACCTGTGACACACGGAGCAGCGAGGCCAGGCCACGGCGCGGGAGCCTCGCTGGTTTTAAAACAAACCATCCGCTTGATCTGGTGAACTCAGACTCGCTTTTGCTGAGAAGAGGGATTTCGGATCTAATCGACACTCACGTGACACTTACTTTTTCTTCCCCCTTTGGCTCTTTCGAGTTTATACAAATTTCACATCAGACTGCGGCTGGCTTTTGGAATGTTAGCGGTTCTTCCTTTCTAGGTTACCGATGGCCCCATCTCTGCGATGTTGGTCTTTTTGAAATATTTCTTTGGTCTTTAGTTGCTTCTGATGTCCTCCCCTTTCTTCACCTCTAAAACACTCCTGATACGGCAGTGAGAAAGGGGTTTAAAATGAAAGAACACAGGTGGCAACGCTATTCTACTGGGTTTTCCGAGAAGCCTGGCTGCTCCTGAGCGCTCTCCGCTTCTTCCACCAAGAGGTACCTCTCTGCCTGGCCGCTTGCGCTCCCTGGTTAAGTGCTGGCCCGTGGACTGAAGGTCTCGGGTTAGATTCCTGTCAAGGGCTCGGACTTCGGTTGCAGGCTCGAGCCTCGCTCCAGTCGGGGGGTGTGCGGGAGGCAATCAATCAATGTCTCTCTCTCACATGGATGTTTCTCTCTGTCTCTCTCCCTCCCTCCACTCTCTCTAAAAATCAATGGAAAAATACTCTGGGGTGAGGGTTAACAATCACAACAAAAACCCTCAAAAAAGATAAGCAATAGCTCTCCTCCGCTCCATAAATCCGAGATCCCCTGGCACTTCGTGACCCCGGGGTTTGGCATTTATTCTCCAGTCACCGGACAAGATGGCAGAATCCAGGCTCCTGCTTATACTCCCAGGCAGAAGGAACCTTTGGCAAAGCCTCTCGGTCCTTCCCCAGTGGGTGCTGTCCTCTTTAAAACGGGAATAACCAGCTAGGTTGACTCCCCAGGGTCGGACCCGTCCTGTGGATGTCAGCCAGCGTCTCTCCCAGCTCCCCTGGCACGCAATCAATGGGCTCGGTGAACCATGGCTCTGGCAGCAGCGGGTTAAGAACTCCAGCCTCCCTTTCTCCAGGCCCACGTGGCTGCTGTCATTGCCGAGTGCCCGCTCACCACCACCAGACCCCACTGGCTCCTGAATGACCCACCCCAGGGCCCGCCAGCCACCTGCTGCCCGAGGCCACGCTGAGCCCTCGCATCCTGGAGCAAAGACACCAACCGGAAGAGGGCCGCGCCTCTGGCCTGGGCTGGTTTCTCCTGGCGCCACTGCCCATGGGCTACAGCTTGCTATGTTGGCTCCCCGAGGTCCCCGTCAAATGCAGCGTCTGACTCAGGAGCTCCCTGTAGAGAATCAGGTGTGAATAAATGGTCGGTGTCCGTAGGAAGAAGCTGACTTGATAAAAGGGTGATGATTTGATTGACAGCTCGCTTCTATTGACACCAGTGGGACTGGGGAACTCACACAGTAATACTATATTCTCTGAGCCAACACCGACATACAGTGTTATTTCTTCCATGGCCAGAACACTGAGCTCCAAGGGCCAACATGTGGAAGTAATGCTGGACCCTTCGTTGCAATTCCTAATGACCTACTCACACACCTTTGTTTCCATCCACACAATGCTGGGCTCTTAGTTCCCAAGGGAGGAAAACTTCCTCTAAGAAACACCGGAATTCCACCGAATGGAAGCCGAGGCTGCCTCACCAGCCACTCGAAGCACAAGCAAAGAAGGGGGTTACTGTATTCGCTGGGGCAAGTGGCCCCGATTATACAGTAGAAAAGGGGCTGGTGCTACACAGCGAAGGGAGGAAAGACTGTCTGGGAGCCAGGGACTCTCTGGGCGACTTTCAGGACGACTCCCAGCTCCTGGGAGATGAGAGCAACCCAAGCCAGGAAAGACCCACCGACGGCCCAGATCTCCCGGGAGTGGGACTTTGGTCACCCCGGCTGCTAACCATCACAGCCCTCTACCGTGGGAGCTGAGGACACAGGGGACAGGGGACGGGAGTGGAGGAAGGAGCTGCAAATACCAGCTTTGGCCCATGAACTGCGGAAATGAGGACTGTATTCATCACGCATATTTTCCAGTTTTTCTCTTTTCCCCTTCTCCCCTGGAGTCTTTCAGGATCTGAACCTACCACGCGATGGGCCTGGGTCTGGAGGCTGTGAGGAGCGTGGGATTGACCTTGAGGAGACTCATCATGGTCAAATCGGCAACTTCAGGTTCTATTAAAACCCGTTACCAGCAAAGGGAGGCTGAGATGATCAGACGGAGGAGGCAGATTGCTTTTGCTGACAACTAAGACTCAGTGGAATTTGGGGGCTCCAGGTAGCTGGACTCGTTAGAACCTACCCAGGCCCCCACGCTCCTCGCCACGCCCGGAAGCCCTGCGTGGCGATGCATTAAGCTGCGGATCAAACCTGGCTTGTTTTTTGGGTCCCTCAGCCCTGTTGATGTAAGACCTGAGTCAGGGAAGCGTTCTGACTCTCACAGGGCTCTAGGCTGCAAGTGTAAATGCCTGAGTTTGTCGTTTTCTTCCCGTCAGCTTTCCAGGTAATCGGAAGCACCCCTCAGCCCTTACAGCAAAGTTCCTGCCCCGATATTTCCCTGCAACAGCCACTTGGTCTCCTAAAGTCTAGTCATTGAAATGCGCCTGATCCCAGAGACAGTAGGTGGTCTAGGGAGCGTTTTGTCACTGCGTGTGGGCGACCAACCTCCCGGTTTCCATTCATGACTGGACCCTACCCCATGGGTGGGATAGGGGCCCTACATGCTCATATCACACGGCAGGCTGCTCGGGGGGAGGAGGACATGAGGGAAGGGAAGAAATGGCCGCCAGGGGGGAGGAGGACACGAGGGAAGGGAAGAAATGGCTGCCAGTGTGCTGTGATCTGACCACCGGCACTGAGTCGTGATCAACGCAGAGGGCACCCAGCTTTGAGCTGCTCCTCACCTTCCTGGGCCCCCAGTGGGCGCTCGACTGCTAGGCAGTTGGAGGGGAGAGAAGCGATTTCTTGGAGTCCCAGTGGTGACCCCAGATTTGTCCCAGAAACGTTTTAAATGATGGCCACGCCTCCACGCTGATTCCTCAGAGTCTACTGGACCCGAAAGGCCATGAAACGCATCGCTGTTTGTATGTGAAACATAGTACGTTCCTGGGAAGATTATGAATAGGCTTTAATGAACCACCAAGAGCCAAACTAGCACCCAGACATTGTTTCTACGTAAACCAGACTTCAAGCCCATACAGGACATGACACCCTTCCCTCCCTCCCACGTACGCACCCCCACCCTGGCGCCTCCTCTCCTGGCCCTCCCTCAGCACACCCCGTGGTGTGACAGTGAAGGGTCCCCCCGTGGCGTCAGGGAAGGGCCCTGGCTGCCCGGGGTGCTTGGCAGGGGCTGGTTTACGGTCAGGGTGACAGGAAGACGAGCGCTTTCCCGGGGCCTCTCACTGCGCGGTGCGCAGACACCTCCCGGAAGGAGGCCGCCCCCCTCCAGTTCTCCAGGCACCTCCCCTTCTCCCAGTCAGTCCTGCACAGATGCCAGCAGCCTGCCCGGCCTCAGCGGGAGTCAAAGCGGAGGTCACCGCTCGGCCTGCCTCCTCCCAGCCCAGGCGCCTGCCTCCAGGTCTCAGCTCTTCCCAGGAAAGTACAGCCGAGAGAGAGAGAGAGAGAGAGAGAGAGAGAGAGAGAGAGAGAGAGAGAGAGACAGGCGTGCCTGCTGCTGCTCAGTCACTGTGACGTGTAGAGCTCTGGGCTCACACCAAACAGCACCTTAGAAGCACCTGGCTACTCGGTGAGTCAGAGGGGGGCAGGGCTTTACACACATCCCAGGGCAGGCCCGGAGACCACTGGCGCTGCAGGAGAAAGAAGGCGGCTCCAGTCCCAGGACGGGCGTGCGGCTAGTACACTGGCCTGGCCGTGTGACTCCCAGCAAGGCAGTCAGTGCTTTGAATGTTGTAGCGAAGAAAAGTCCCGAGGGTCAGAGAGGATGCATGTGAGCATCTCACATTGTGTGTGGCGCGCGGCAGAAGCACAACCAACAGCCGCATTGAAACTGCTGCTGTGATCGTAGAAGGGAGCCGGTCAGCGTGGGAGAGACCCGGTTTCAAACCCCGGCTGCCATGCTGAGTCTTTGATAAGTTACACTTCTGTACCTCAGTCTCCTGATGTGCACAGTAGTTACAATAACTCCGGCCTGAGGGAATCGCTGTGAGGTGAAATGAAACGCTGGTGAAACACCTGGCACCTTCCTGCTGTTTTCTGAAACCAGCTACGCCAGCAGGACTGCCACTGGACACGCCTCAGACTGCCCCTGACATGACAAACGTTCTACTTCAGATGCAGACACAGGCTCTGTGTTCAGCATAATCCCTGCAGATAAGGGCACAGGTCCCTTCATTCCTGCAGGAGAGCATGGGGACGGGTGGCTGGGGTGACGAAGGGCTATGACGGGAGGGCAGGTGGGTCCTTCCGGGTCATGACCGGGGACGGCAATGCAGGCGTCTGGACTCGTCCATCCATGTTGTGAGGGAAAGCTGTTGCCTGGACAGACCTGAGCACAGATCCCAGTGACCACACCCCGGGGGCAGGCTGGACCGTCCGCCCTCCTCTGAAGCCGGGCCCAGCCAGTCCTCAGCTGCCCCCCGCAGGGCTGCCTGTGCTGGAGTGGGGGCCGCAGGCAAGTAGGAATGTGCCAGCCGTGTTCACACAAACATCCCCGCTCCGTCCCGAGAGCAAACGCTATAAATAGTCGTCCTGGACACGCTCACACCAGACCCTTGTGGAATTATCTGTCTTCACAGGGTGTACTTGGCACCTAGGCCGGCGGAGCCTGGACCTGTGCCTGACGTATACGAGGCCCCCGGTAAGTGTTCCCTGGAATGAGCTGACCTGCAGCCTTGGCCTGGGCCTCGTCCCAACCAGAACCAGAACTGGCGTCCATGGGTCGTACCACGTGCCTGGCCCTGTACGAGGCCCTTTATATGGAGATCACCTCATTCACCTGGCAAACTCGTGCCCACCATTTAGGAAGGAGTTCAGATGTCATCTCTTCTGTGAAAACTCCTTGGCCCCTCCCCCAGGCAGAGTCCTCTGCCCACGGCACTGCCAGCCCTCGGCTCCGTCTTCAGAGGAGCACGCACCACCTTCTGCGTGACCAGGCCTGCTTCCAAGGCTGCCTGCCCCCTGGCGGTGGGAGGCCATCGGGGCTGTGCCTTTGTGAACTTTTTGTTACTTAGCACAGCGTGACATTAACTTTCAGAACACTTGCACTTCTGCTAAGTAATGAACCACTGAGTACATTTGTTAGAAAACAGTGTCCTTCGCCTGCTGGAGTGGCTCAGTTGGTTGAATGTCCTTCTGTGCACCAAAAGGTCACGGGTTCGATTCCTGGTCAGGGCACCTGTCTGGGTTGCGGGTTTGGGCCTCAGTGGGGGCCCATATGGAAGGCAACCATGACTCTTCTCTTCTCTTCTCTTCTCTTCTCTTCTCTTCTCTCCTCTCCTCTTCTCTTCTCTTCTCTCTCTCTCTCTCTCTCTCTTCCTCCCTCCTCGGGTGAGGATTAGAAAACACCTGCATCCTTCTACACATAAAGTCAGCTAATATTTTCATGTAACTGAGAAAAAGGACAATTTTATAAAATGATAAAAAGTGACGTCTGTATCAGAGAATTTACAATCAAGACACACGTAGGTTGAAAGTAAATGTATGGAAGAAGATATACCATGCAAACACAAATCGTAAGAAAGCGGAATGGCTACATTAGCACCACACAGAGCAGACTGCAGAAGAGGGACTATTACCAGAGATAAAGAGGCACATTTCCGGTTTGGCTCAGTGGATAGAGCGTCGGCCTGCGGACTGAAAGGTCCCAGGTTCAATTCCGGTCAAGGGCATGTACCTTGGTTGCAGGCACATCCCCAGTAGGGAGTGTGCAGGAGGCAGCTGATCAATGTTTCTCTCTCATTAATGTTTCTAACTCTCTATCCCTCTCCCTTCCTCTTGGAAAAAAAAAAAAAAGAGGCACATTTCATGATGACAAAGAAGCCAGCTCACCTACCTGTAGAAATGCATGCGTCAGTCACGGAGCTTCAGAACACAGGAGGCAAAGCCTGACAGAACAGCAAGAACATCAATCAATCCATCCTTGCAGCTGGAGGCTTCAACACTTCGCCTAGTAATTGTAGAACAAGTAGGTTGCTGATAAGCAAGGACTTGTAAAACCTAAACAACCTCACTTGACCTAATGGACACTGAGCCACACACACAACACCAGGATACACATTCTCTCCACGTGCTCGTGAGCCATTCGGCCAGGCAGACCACCTGCTGGCCCACAAAAGCAGCTTCCATACATGTACAAGGATTAAAATCATACTGGGGCCCTAGCTGGTTTGGTTCAGTGGATAGAGCATTGGCCGGTGGACTGAAGGGTCCCGGGTTTGATTCCGGTCAAGGGTATGTTCTCTGATTATAAGAGAATTAAATTAAAAATCAATAACAAACATATATTTTAAAAATCTCCAAATACTTGGAAACTAAACAAATATTTGATAATAACCAACAGGTGAAGAAAATAATCACAAGAACAATTAGGACATATTTTGTTTGTGCATGACTCCGAGGTCTGCTTCAGACGTGCTGACATTTTTATGTAGGCACATGGATGAGGCTACCTGAGACAAGACTGGTACATGTGCCTCATTGGTTTCGAATCTCATCATGGAAGAGATCCTGGAACTAATTCATGCTTAGAATGCACGACAGCCACGCGAACATTTACACCTGGTGAATAGAAACCCTCTCATCCTTTTCTGTTCTCACTTCTGAGGTTTAAATGTTTGATGAATAGGAGATTGTACCTGTCTCCACGGAGCACGGTCGAGGGGCCAGCGGTCCGCAGGGCCACTCTCTGTCCCGACACCAATGCCCAGGCCGTCTCTCTAATGGCCTGACTTAGAACGACACGTCTGTAGTCCTCACCTATATAGTTTGCTTACATGCTGCGTCTGTTTTTTACTCTTTTTTTGGTTTCACTTTTCTTTTTATTCTTCTATTAAGCCCATGCTGTTTAAAAAATATGAGTTCTTCAAAGAACTTATATACTTACAGGCACAGCCCATGGACACGGGCAATAGGGTAGTGATGACCTGGGGTGGGGTTGTCCGGCCTGGGAGGAGGGGGTAGAGGGGGAAAAATGGGAGATACTATCAACAATAAAAATGTATTTAAAATAAAAACATAAAAATACTGATTCTTAAACTGTTTTCATATCCATTAATATTAGTCCCTCTCATTTCTTTCCCTTATCAAAGTTTACCTAGCTATTCTGAAATACTTGTTGTGTTTAAAAATCCATTGATGTTTTATGGAAATTACATGGCATTTACTGACTACAGTAAATTGAACTTTTACAACATTGAGTCTTCCTATTCAAGAATAAGATGTGTCTTTCTATTTATTGCTTGTTCTAATATTTCTTCATATGGAACAGTGGTTCTTTACCCTGGCTGTACATTATAATCACGCGGGTGGTTTAAAAATACAGATGTCGAGGCCCCATCACCAACAGCACAATTGTTTTGGTGTGGAGCGCAGGTGTGTGTGTTTATTAAGAGCTTAACCCAGTCAGGGTTCATGAAGAGCCACTGAGGTAGAGCCTGCCACTTCTAACGGGTGTGTGTGTGTGTGTGTGTGTGTGTGTGTGCGTGTGCGTGTTAGTGTGTGTGTGTGTGCGTGTGCGTGTGAGCGTGTGTGTGTGTGCGTGAGAGT